GCGAATGTCTTAAAAGCTGAAAAGGGCATAAGGAGTGCGAAAACAAAGTCCAAAAGCAAAATAAACATCCTCCAAAGACAAGTGCAAAAGCTAAATAAGCAAAAGGCGTCCACACGACCAGCCCATTAACATTGTTCCAGCATGCAACAAGTAATAAGAAACACCCTAACCATACTAAGCCGACTTGCTCGAAGCATCATCGGAAGAGCTAGAATCGTCGGAGGTGCCACCATCCGAGGCGACATCTTCACCATCGGCAGCAGCAGCAGGAGCGCCCTTCTCACCACCTCCCTTAGCACCAGCATCGGCATCGGCACCAGTAGCTCCCTCGACATTATCGCCCACTCCCTCGTCACCAGCCCCCTCAACGTCAACCTTGATGTCATCAGCAGAGGAGTCACCCTCATCTAGCGGGAGTGGATCAGAATCGGAAGGCTCATGGACAAAAAGTAATCATCCATCGCCTGCCAGACTTCCGATGTGTCCCACTTCATGCCAGGGTTGTCGGACCGAACTTTCTTACGGATGCCAATGAAAGCTCTTTGCTTCACACCAATCAGAAGATCCCGCTGCCAATCACGAAACTCCGTCGACGCCAAATGAGCGTCCACAGCATCCTCGCGTTCCTTGGCTAGTTTCTTCTTGAACTCCTCCTGAGAATTAAAGGAAATTTGTTAGCACATGCAAAAATAGACAGAGACGCGAAGTGTCACCCCTCCGAGAGCAAGAAAGGGACACGCAAAGGGGTTAGCCCATACAAAAATAAACAGACAAAGACGCGAAGTGTCACCCCTCCGAGAGCAGGAAAGGGACACGCAAAGGGAGAGGACTACCTGCTGGCACCTTTTGGCTGTAGACACAGCCTGCAGCTCCTTCTCCAAATCTTCAACTTTCTTTTTTCGAAGCGGTAGCTCCTTCTCCATCTCTTCACGAGCAGACGCGCTCCCAGCGGCCAATGCATCGGATAATTGCTGCTTCACCGAGGACAACTCACTTTCCAAACGAGAGTTGACATCTTGCAGGGTCGCCTTATCAGTCTTCAGTTGAGAAGCCATCAGATAGTTCTTATGGGCACGCTCTCGGTTTTCATGACTCTTGTCAGAAAGCGCCACTACATCAAGCATGGCCTAAACAAAACAGCGTCAAAGGTGAGGACACAAACATCAGCTAAGAAAGGGAAAAAACACGAAAGCATACCTGAAACAGATGTTGACACGCCGCGCCGGCAGGAGAAGTGCCCTCGTCAAGGGGTGGCTTCAGAAAGTTCTTCAACTCCAAGGCAGAAGTGAATGCGCTCGGCACATTGAGTGCAGCAGAGGGAGAGATAGGAACGAGATCTTTGGACTTCACCACGCGCCTCGAACGCGGAGGTGCTAGAATCTCATCAATACCCCCAAGTTCGGGCTTCTTCTTCTTCTTTGGGACCTCAGCAGGGGAGCTCGCGGAAGCAGGACGCTTTCCCAAGGCCTTCTCCGGGAGAGGGTCGCGCAGATCCAATGGAAGAAGCAACTGAGGAGACGAGGCTTCACCGGTAGCGTCAGGCGCCTATTCGGAGGAGCGAAGCACACGCCCAGAAGGGGCGCTAGGCGCCTTCTGCGACCCAGCCCTGGAAGCGCCTTGCGCCTTCTTCGTCATCTTCACCAAGCTCGAATAGTCAAAATCTACAAGAAAATGAGTTATGAAAATGACATAAGTTTGGGGACAAAATCTAAATCGTGGTAATCAAAATATACCGTGGTTATAGAGCTCCCCCAAGGCGCGCGCCCTCTCCCCCTTTCTCGCAAAATCCACTGGAGGCGCTCGAAGAATATGATGTTTCTGCTCTTGCTCAAGCTTCTCAAGGGAGAAGTCCCTAGCCCACGCCTCGTCCGAACCTTCGTTCCACGAAGTCAAAAGAGGTGTCTTCTTCGATGCATGCCAAGTACCATGGCGTGGCCTAATGAAGAAATATGAACAATACCACTTGCTGGGGAGCTTGGGCGAACCCTTGCAGACTCGGCCATGGTACTTACTGTCGCACTTCAAAGCTGACCAACCATGCTTACCTCGTTCTAAAGAAAAAATACTCCGGAAGATAGGGAAGGAAGGGTCGTAGCCAAGGCGCTTACAGATCAATCGAAAGGCGCAAGTATGGAAAATAAGTGAGGGGGAGAGGAAAATGAGAGGACACCCAACCATCTCCAGGATACCCGATAAGATGGGATCTAACGGAAACTTCAAACCACACTTTAAGTACTCCGAATAAACCGCGAACCAACCCTCGGGACAACTACCAATGTGCGCGCCAGGATCAGGAAGAGCATACTCCCAGTCTCGAGGAAATCCTAGGCCACGAAGGTAAGACATGACCTGATGAAATTGAATACTGGGTCGCTTGTCAGGACCAAGGAGGCGAACAGAAGTGGGAGGCGCCTGATCACCCCACATGCCACGCCATCGCAGAACGCGGTAATCGGCGTCATCAGTAGCTAAAAAATTGCTTGTTTCAGGCTCAAGCTCCACACTTGACATGTCACCCTCAGTAAGTGACTCCGCTTGTGGATCTGACTCAGCATCGCTGACGATCTCGGAAAGCCTCCACTTAGCTTTTCTATACACTGTACATCCAACTAAAACTCCCTAAAGACCAACGCTACCATGTGAAGTTTAAAACACAGAGAGGAAGAGGATTACTTACCCATCTTCCTGACTCGGCTCGAAGAAGCCTGAGCTTTCCCCTTGGAGGGAGCAGAGGCGCCACCCATAGATGCAGAGGGTTGCGAATTATTGGAAGCCATAAGAGAGTGATGAGCAGCAAAACGGGTCTTGGAGGAGAATCGTGTATAACGCCTAAGCCGGTAACGCGCGGGTAAGAAATCGTTGTCGCTTCCCGTGACTACGTATTGGGAGGCGTCTTCGACGCCTTAATCGAACCCTGCAGCATAAACAAAGAACAAGGCGCGGGTAACAGGGTGGCGCTTTTGAAGTAGATCAATCGGAAAATGAAAACAAACAGACAGCGGCGAAAGAAACCCAAAGAGAAATAAACGAAGAGCGCGGCCCCTTTAAATTGAATCTCAACTGAGCGAGGCCCGATACAACGAGAGAGCAACGGATCAAAATTTGGACAGCACCCAACAAAATCAAAATATGAGGAAGCAAATGCAGGCGGCGCCAAAGAAAACTGGCAAGGAGGGTGGCGCCTAGTAGGAAGGAGGGTGGCGCTTACCTGCTGACGCGTCTCAAAAGCACCCAATAAGCTGGAAGGGGAAACTCCCAACAAACGGCAATTGTGGAGAAGTAACCTCTGCAAAGAAAAGAAGCAAGACAGTCAGAAACAAAGGCGCCGAGAGTAAGAAGAAGGGAGGCGCCTGCCAGCAGAGGAAAGCAGGTGGAGCCGAAGTTGAGAAACCAAAAAGCGTAGGCAAAAAAGAAGGGAGGCGGGTGGCGCCTCCGATCGAAAGAGTGGCGCAAGACAGTCAGAAACAAAGGCGCCTAGAGTAAGAAGAAGGGAGGCGCCTGCCAGCAGAGGAAAGCAGGCGGCGCCGAAGTTGAGAAACCAAAAAGCGTGGGCAAAAAAGAAAGGAGGAGGGTGGCGCCTCCGATCGAAAGAGTGGCGCAAAATCGATGCGCGGGATAAGAAGAGGCGCCCCTAAAAGGAGAGAAGCCGCGGAATAAGGGGACGAAGAAGGCGCCATCGTTCAAACCAAGAAGTGGCGTACCTAGTATGCGGTGGGTGGCGCCTAGCAGAATGGCTGAGGAGGAAAGGAGGCGCCTTCCCAATGCAACCGGAACGAGAGGATACAAGGCGCCGCAGGAGAGAGAGAGCAGCCAAAAAATTGAAGGCGCCACAGGAGAGAGGGAGCAGCCGAAAAAGTGAGGGTTAAGAAAAAAGGTGAAGAATGAAATGGAGGAGGGGTTTAAATAGGGAGGAGGAGGGCGCACGGTTCTCGGAGCGGGCTTCCCTAGGGCCCAGCCTTCTATCACCTCCTCTAAATTAACACCCCCCCCCCCCCAAATTTGAGTGGGCTTGGCCCAAAGCTGCTGCTAGCAGCCTATGTGGTGTGGCGTCTTCGCTGCCATTTCACTCCTTGCCATTAGCCTTTCCAATTTCTGTTATTTTTACTTATTCTTTTATAGTTTTTTCTTTTTACTTATTTTAATTTTATTTATTTTATTTTATCTATTCTTTTATAATTTTTTGTATTTTCACTATCAAAGAGCATGCTTGTTTGACGATATCGCAGTACCCACGCCATCGCCAAAAGGGGCAATTGATAGGGTATCCTAGTAACTAAGGAAACAATACCCTAGCTAATGGCATAAAGAAGGAAAGAAGACAAAAGAGCAAAAAGACAAGGCTGGGAGACAAGAGACAAGGTCAGGCACCTGACATCAGCAAGGACAAGGGGCAGGGGGACACCCTCTGTCAAAAAGGACTATGTACAGTGTCAGAAGGTCTGAGGCGCCTGACCACAGCATTTATGGCTTGGCAGGCGCCCAGACCACTACCTAACCCTCAAATGTGTATAAATAGTTCTCTTTTCATAAATGGCAATCTATCTACTCTTACTCTAACTTCTCTCTACTTTCTCTCTCTATATACTTCTTCTCTTTTTCTACTTCTGACGAGGCGGGGCGCCTACCCCCTCAAAGTCATGGCTGACGTCCCAAACCCCTTGGACCCAAGTGACGCCCAGTCGCCCGGGCTCAAACACTTACTAATCAAAATAAAAAATTGATGTCTTAATACTACTTTTACAGTTGGGTGCATTGAATGCACTCATTTTTGTAAGTGCACCGAAGTAGCCACCATATATATATATGGTGTTATCATCCAAATAATAATAACGAGATTGAATAGAATGCTAAATATTAGCACCATACTAATAATAATTAATAAAAGTATTATAGCAACTACAGTATGTGTTAGTTTTTTCTTTCAATTTGTTGCTCTTTGCAAAAAACTACCATCGTTAATGGTCGGAGACTATTGAAGTCGAGAGCGATCAAACTTGAACCGGTTTACTAAATCTAGTAACCACAAATGGAATTAAATATTTTTAATAAATCAAATATTAACGTTTTTAGTACTCTGGTGACTAACCTTGCAATTTAGAGGGAGGGAATACAGGCTACAGAAATTGAAAGAAGAAAAAAGGCAGATGTCATTCCTTTCCTTGTACATTTCTGCGCTTCACTTGGCGCCGTATTCTTCCATCACAATCGCCACTACTGAGGAGTGGCACAAACAATGAACAGGCTAATCTCCTGTTATTTGTTACAGACCAATCCTTCTTTAAATCGGCATCCTCCAATTTTCCTCAGTCGATCACAATTCACACAGACATCCACAGTTACACATACAAAAGAGCACCCGCCCTGGAAACGAGGGGGCAAAAACAACTATGGAGCACCAGCTAGCAGATCCAAACCCCGGTGATGAATGCAAGTACCGTGGCGTCGGGCCATTTTGGTACCATCAACGAATGACGAAACCGCCGGGATTCTATGCTGAATTGCTGATAAAGTTGTTGTGAAAAAACTATCATGTTTGTCATCTGCCAGTTCACTTGGAATCAGATGATGAGGGAGATCTTGCCTTGTTCCACCTTCACTGATATCATAAAAAGTAATCAGGTGCTGGCTTCTTGGCTGGTGCTCCTCTCGACTCCTGCATTTTTTCACATTTTGCAATTAGTACTATGCCCACCATAACAACAAGTACATCACCCTGATTTCTTCATGGAATTTTTTTCTTCCTGAACTGAGTTCAGCTACAAACCTGTGGGGCGGCATCAAATACGCGAAATTGTTTGTTAAGGTTCTCATCCAGCTCAAGTATTGCCGCTACATTACCACATCTGCAACACATTCCGAGGAATACCATCCAAAGTCGGTCAACAAATAAATTCCAAGGATATAGATAGAGAGAGTATGCGTGTGTTTTAACAAAGGGGAATCTTTTACCTGTAACAGTAGTTTGGAGCCGACCAAACAGTAACTATTTGGTTGTTGAACATCCATTTGTATCCCTCCATTACCAACTGGTGAGCGCGGCAAATGTAATCAATATTATTTGAGTGGTTGAAAGAACTAACCACACTGCCACCAAACAAAAAACCTGCACCACGCGGACTCAAACCCCAACCATCCACAATATCTTCAGGATCCGACCAAAGGAGATCACACATGGCACCATCATGAGGCACTTCTTGTTTTCTGTCAATGGTCCGGATCTGTTTCAAGGATTGATCAGTACATCTAACAATCAAAGATAAGCAAAAGCAGGTTAAAGGCAGACTATTTTACCTGATCCAAGGTCGATATTGCAGGAGACAGACCTCCGTGAACACTGAAAACTTTGTTCTCAATGAGCGCTGACAAACTGCGTTAAATAGGACCACTCAGCACAGTTAATAATTGACACATTTCATACAAGCAACTGAAGTACTGAACGGTGGTTTTTCGAAAGATGATGCACACTCCTAACCAGATCATGCCTTTAGTTACTCGCAGATTAATTACAAAACCTAAAAACAGACACTGGTTTTGTCTCGAGTTGAAGCTTAAAATGATACTTTAAAGGAAGTCCAATTTCCTAGTAATGACAGGAAAATGTAGTTAACTAAACTTAGTGAATAATAAAAAAGAGGCAAAAGAGCGCACTACACACTAGATCCAGTTAGAGCAAAAATCACGGGCTATTGATCATACATCAATAAGTGAAAATGAATAATATTAACTGAAACAGAAGAACAGCAGCTCACAACCTATCTGCTATTGATATTAGCAATAAGATCAAGTAGCTTCCATCGTCATACCTCAGGTAATCAAAGATATCTGTGCAGTATCTCCATACATTTACAGAACCGTATTTCCTTAGACACTCATCATAAAAACCATACACCTGCACAAATAGCACGGACAATGTCAACTTCAGAACTCCCACAGTCAAGGTAGTGAAATAAGGCAGGCTATAAGAACCTAACCTGTGTTATCTGACGGCTCTCATGATTTCCTCTGATGAGTGTTATTCGATCTGGATATCGCACCTGACAAAACAGTAACTCGTTAATTGTGAAAAGCAGGATGGAAAACCAATGTAATTTTGTTGATCCTATGAATTTACAGAATGCATGCCTCTTAAATTACGTTTGGAGGCCTAAGTTGAAGCTGATTGCAGCTATCCATGTGAAATTGGAGAAGAGACTAAAGTTGCATACACGACTTGAATGACTTTGACTGTCAGCAATTCAAACTCAGAGAAAGAAGATTCACCGCTCCAACTTAGCATTCATATTCGCTTTTATGCAACTTTGACGAAAAACATTGCATTAAATGGATGAATTATGAAAGGCTAAGATTAAAAGTAAAACAGTAAAGAAGTCTCAAGCCCCTCACAGGGACCAAGGATACGGAGGTCAAAAGAAACATGGAGGAGAAGAGAAGAAGCATCTTGACATTGGAGAAAAATAATACCTTAAGGGCAAGCAGAAGCAAAAATGTTTCAACAGAGTAGAATCCTCTGTCAACAAAATCTCCAAGAAATAAGTAATTAGTCTTTGGGCAATCTCCGCCTACTTTGAAAAGCTCCTTCATGTCATAAAACTGGCCATGGATGTCTCCACATATCTATACATGGTAACAGCCAACAGAGTTAGTAAGTACACTTACCCCAGTAGTCAACAAACTCTCAATCAAGGAAACAATTGTAGTTTCAAAGTAAAAAGTAAGCAATTTCAACTAATAGACATTATTTATGTTCTATTTTTGTAGCATAAGTCACAACTTCTGTTCAGAATCTTGCTGCAGAACGAGAAGAGAAGAAACCGGCTAGACTTAGAGCCAACCCTTGGTCAAAGCAAAACTGCAGTTCCAAGGAATTAATCCAAAGACGTTTGAGCATGTAAGCAAACACATATTAGCAAAAGAGTGACGGAAACATGCGGTCATTCACCTCCTAATTTCATATGAAACATGTGCCCAACAAAACTGTCCTTCAAACAGCTATAATGTTATGCCAGATGAAACAACGATCCTATACCGAAACCCTACAGGTGAAACCCATAAACTATAAATAAAAGCATCATACTAGCTTAATTTCCAAGCTTAACCTACCTAAGTTGAGTGAAAACTGGCAAACCAGATCCACTGCTTCTACAAGTAACAATTTTAACCTAAAGCAAGAGATTCTAGCCAAACTTGCGTTCATGGTCCGATTTTTAGTCATGACAAAGTATAGCAAGCAGTAGATTTGCTCTCAACCTCGGAGATAAGCAACAATAAAAGCACCAAATAGAACAGCAAGTAGAAAGGAAAAATTTAGACCAATTTGTTCAAATACAAGCTTACACATTAGACTCAGCTGAATGACTTGTTCACAATCATATCTACCATGATGGAACCACAAATGAAGATAATTTGCAAAATTTTAAAGATAAAAAAAAGAGTGTAATGACAAAGAATGACCCGGTTAAGTAAACGCCCTTACTGACACTTTACGAGCTTCCTAATCCAACCCATCAAGTAGAGCTTAGATAAAGTGAGACCATGGTGGGGATTGGGGGGCACATACCACCAACATACATATGTAGACGCAAAATTCCCAAGTCTGAAGCCCTAACACAGTCACAGGAATGATTCAATTGTGACAACCACCAGAGGACAACGACAAAGAGCAAACCAGATAGGTAAACACCCTTAACGCCTACTTAGGGACTTCCTAATCCAAGTCATAAACTAAGACTTAAGAGCTTTAGATTCTCTAAGTGAGACCAAGGATGGGAGGAAGGTGGAGACGCACGTCACCAATATGTAGATACGTATGCGAAATTGTCCCAAAACTCTGAAACCCTAAACACTAACAGGCATGATTCAAGTAATCATTTGCGGGAAAAGAAATTGAATTGCTCGAAGACAGGAACGAGAAGGAGGCTTACAGTCACCGGAGCATCAACGCGCTGAACATTACTCTCTTCGACGAGGATTTCCATAGCTTTCAAGCACAGAGCCTTGACTTCCGACTCCTTCAACGGCTCGCACTTCTTCAGCTGCTCAATCTGCCTGTCTAGATCTGACATCTCCCCCGAATGCCCTAATTCCTCCCTTCCCCAACTTCTTCTACCAAAAAATCAGGAGCCTTCAGTCGCTTCTCTCCCTTTCCGATTTAACGGACTACTGTCGGCTTGTTGACTGCTACGACGCACCAGTGCAGTTCTCTCCTGCTCTGCCCAGTTCCCGCTCAACGAGAGCTCGCTCTCGCCCTCTCTCTCTCTTCAAAACTGATTTTTGGTGTGCTTTTTACTTTCCCGAGAGTGGCCCCTACAGTTTCCTTTGTCGTAATTTTGGCGCCTCATATTTTTATAAATTTATTTCTGCCACACCAAATTTCCCAAACCAAAAATCAAAATATCCCCAATTTGGCATCCGGTTCGGGGGCCGTTCCGTTTCCTGGGTAACGGAGTACTGCAGCTCGAGACCGGACGGTCTGGTCACACCGTTCGGTTCATCCTCCCCTGCCCAAACCCCTTTTATTATTAACGAATTAAATTAAATTAAATTAAGTTCCTCCGCCGCTCCTATTATCTCCTCCGTCGCCCACAGTTTCCTCTTCCCCTCTCACTCTCCGCTCTTCTCTTCGCCCAAAATTTTGACAGTCAGCACGCACAAATAACAAAACAATAGTTTGTTTCTCAACCATTATTACCCGCCAAAACGGTCCTTCTCCAATCCACCACACCTAACGTCTCGATTTTTCAAAACTCCCACGCCTTCCTTCTTCCCGCTAGGGTTCTCTGAACGATGTCCTCTCTTTGCAGGTAGGTCTCCCCTGGCGAAACGGTACGGCGCCGGGTTTGCCGAATGAATCGGGAGGGGAATGGCGAGGCTGCTGCTCTTCCGGAGCCGAAGCTAGATGCCGGCGGAGAAGCTGATTCGGTTGCGGAGAAGATGCAGCCGACTGCGACTGAGGTGGAGAATGAGGATGTTGGTAGGGATACGAAGAGGCTGAAGAAGAATTCGGCAGGGGAGATGCGGCAGGTGGCTGAGATGCTGCTGGTGTTGTCCGCCATGGGGCAGATGAGAGGAGGGAGGGATCCTACTGAGGCCGAGGAGAAGCTGATGGTTGAAGCGAAGGATAAATTGGCGGAGATCTGTCAGCGTTTTGCGCCTAAGGAGTTGGTGGCTGGAGATGCAGTTGGGAAGGTTATCGAGGATTTGGGGCTCAATTGGAAGCTCAATGACCAGCGGTTAGGATTTCGTGGATCCAGGATGTCGATTAAGGAGAAGGTTGCCCACGCAAAGCGAAAGGTAAGACAGATTGAATGTTCTTGCATTCATGCGAATGCCTTTTCTTTGAAATTGGCAGGTGTTTGTCTGTGATATGTTCTTATTCGGATGTTCCGATTTTTCTTTTGCTAAGGTGTGTTAGAATGTAGACTGAGTGAGCATTGAGTTCGATTGTGAAGTATGTACATAAGTGGAAATCGAGGGCTGTTGGTGTAGACTAAGTTTGATTGAACGAAGCTTCAGTTTCCTGAAGAAATAAGAAATTGGGACGAGTTTCAACTTTTCTTTATCAGTAGTAATGAAGGAATCAGGAGAGTGGTATTTCAGATGGATATAGGATGGTCATCCTCAGTGAACAGTGCTTTACATTTAGTTGTAGATTTTTGGGTTGGGTGTGAGCTTAGTTGGATATTTGCTTGTCCCTTCTGCATTCCGTAGCAGCTCTGTTGATAAGGAGAAGGCTCTTTTATTCCCCTTTCCAGGTTCAAGGTGGTTGTTCTAAGAGTTTATGGGACGCCAATATTGTCGTACTGCTGCTTAAACAATTTACTACCTGTCTTATTGAAATGGGTGCTACTTTTGTCTTACTGAAATATGAAAGCTTAATGGTGCCACTTCTTGACGCCTCTCCAGATGGAAGAGCCCAAGAAGGTCACTCCACATGCATCTCAGACATCACATCCTAGCTTTGCGGTTATAGCTGAAGGTCGTGTTCCGACGCACACTATTCGGCCTCTTCCGTTAGAGAAACCAACTCATGCGCCTTTACTTTCTGGAACTGCGCCAGTTCATCATCCTCCTTTCACTCATGTTTCTGCAACAGCAGCTTATCTGCAGGCTTCCAATGCGGAGGCAAAAGGAGCTGCAGCATCTGGGCGGTTACCTATTAATCATTTGGGGAGCTCATCTGTAGTAGCAGCACCCAGAGGGCAGTTCATTAAGGTTGAAGGAGGACCAAATGCGAACACGTACACGCTAAATCGTAATTCTCCAACCCTTTTGGTGGCTGTTTGCAATGGAAATTCTCCAGCAATGTGTTAGCATTTTGAGAATTGGAGGTGCTTGAAGTTTTTACTCTTTTTTAGGTTTGGAACTGAATCACTATTTTCAAATTCCTTTTTTGCAGCAAATGCTCCTTTACACCATCCTGCGGGGAATGCTCCAATTTGGTCTGTACAACCCAGTTCCTTCCCCTCTAAGGTGGCGGCAGGGAGCAAGGTGCCAAATCATACTCCTGTGAAGGCTGATGGGATTGCTGGTTCAGGTGTACCACGGGCAGCTCTTCAAGGTTCTAGTCAAGCATTCAGACCGCCATTTACTCAAACAGCAGCAACAAGTATGCCTAGCGTGCATCAGCCTATGCAAACTGTGAAGGCAGTTTACAGTAATCACAGTGAGATTGCCAAAGTTGTTCAGAAGTTGCTTCAACCGAAGCTTCCTGAACATCCCACTTGGACTCCACCTTCAAGGGAGTACATGAACAAGGCTTTGACTTGCCAAAGCTGCAACCTCACTATCAATGAGGTTGACAATGTTATTATTTGTGATGCTTGTGAGAAAGGATTTCACCTAAAATGTCTGGAATCTGTACTCCAGAAAGCTGTTCCTAGAGCTGAGTGGCACTGCATGAAATGCACGTCATTAAGCAATGGGAAACCATTTCCCCCTAAATATGGCCGTGTCATGCGAAGCATAACCCCTCCAAAGGGGCCTGCAAGTGCTACTCAGGTTGGAGCTCAGTCCTTGTCAGATAAGAAACTAGTAAATATGGGTCAAAGGGGTGTTCAAGATAAAATGAGCTCTGTGTTAGAAAGTGTTACAGAATCTGGCTCTGCTGGGTGCGTCAACCTTGTCTCTGGTACTAAGATTGACAGTGAAAGGGGACTGCCAGGAAATAGCATCACTTCAAAAGGAAAAGATACGGGCTTGATGCCATCTGCTGGAACTCTCCAAAATGAAGCTGACCCAAGAAAACCTCCGGGGCATGATTTAGCTTCAGTTGCCTTGGCAGGTGAAACGTGCAGTCAACAAATTCAATCACCTGGATCACCAATACATGATAAGAGATCCACTTCTGAACTAAAGCTGGATCCTCCTGCTTTTCTTTCCAGCCACATTCATGATACTTATGAAGCCAAATCCCAGCACAATGTGCAAGATGTTGCCGAAACAGGAGCTGTAAACACTGCTAAAGATCTTTTAGTTACTCGCCAAGTGGGCACTAATGCTGAAGAAACAAAGATTACATATGCTTCAGGATATGATGTCAAACAAATTGAGGAAGGTGATTCTCAGACACCTTCTCATTCACTAAATGATGACAAACAAAGTGAGGTTGATGTTGCTCGCTTACCTGGTTCAAAACACGATGTCAAGCAAAGTGGGCAAGCTGTTGATCTTGCACCTTCTGCTTCAGAACAAAAGGTCAAGCAAGATGAGCAACCTGTGCCTTTTGCTTCAGAACAAAATGTGAAGCAAAGTGAGCTAGATGTTGGCCATGCACCTTCTGCTTCAGAACACAACAATGAGCAAAATCAGCCAGATGTGGGATATGCACCTTCTCTTTCAGAACAAAATGCTGCGCTAGGTGTGGGTCATGTGCCTTCTGCTTTGGAACACAACGTCAAGCAAAGGGAGCAAGGTGTTGCTTGTGCAGAACACAATTCTAAGCAAAGTGGGCATGGTGTTGCTCAGGTTCCTTCTGCTTCAGAACACAACATTAAGCAAACTGAGCAAGGTGTTTCCCCTGTGCCTGCTTCAGAACACAATGCCGAGCGAAGTCAGCAAGGAGTTGATCACGCACCTTCTTCAGAAGAAGAAAATGGCAAGCAAATTGAGCTAGGCGGTGTTCTTGCTCCTTCAGAACACAATTTTCAGCAAAGTGAGCAAGGTGTTTCCACTTCAGAACAAAATGTTGAGCAAACTGTGCAAGGTGTTGCTCATGCATCTTCCATGGAACAGAATGAGCAAGGTGTTGCTCATGTCCCTTCCGCAGAACAGAATGTTGAGCAAGGTGTTGCTCATGCCCCTTCTGCAGAACATAATGTTGAGCAAACTGAGCAAGTTGTTGCTCATGCCCATTCGGGTTCAGAACACAATGTTGACCAAAGTGAGCAAGGTGTTGCTCATGTACCTTCTGCTTCTCAACACAATTTTGAGCTGCAAAGTGAGCCAGCTGTTGCCCATGCACATCCCGGTAATAGCACTAATGGTTCCAGTATGACCGTGCAATTGTCTGCTGAGGTGCTTCAAACTGTGGAGTGGGTTGGTTCTACCCTTAATGTTTTTGATGACAAAGCATTCTACGAGTCTTGTTGCATTGGAGGAGTGGTGTACAAAGTGCTGGATCATGCCCTTTTCCATTCTAGTCATGGCAGATTGATGCCTTCTAAGCTTCAGGTAAGTTAGCCGTCTGAATCTGTGAAAGGAAGTATATGGTACCTTCTATATGTTAATCATGATTTATGTGGGGCTTATTTTATTTTTATATGTAAATGGAGATAATGTGAAGCCATAGAGGTGAAATGTTTTGTTTCTTGACTCAGATCTCACGCTGCTGCTAGGTTCACTATCTCTGGAATGTATTTCATTAATTGTTTGTTGTATTTTTGTTATTCCCTTGCTATGCTGCTAACACGAAGCATTTAACCTGAGATTTCAGTCAATGTGGGAGGATATGAAGACTGGGTCGAAGTGGATTAGAATCAGTACGTGCTATTCGCGGGAGGACTTACCTGAGGGCGTAGGCCAGCCATTTTCTCCCGAAAGTAATGAGGTAAATTGTTTGACATACTTAACTAATTATGTGACAGCTGTTAAGAACTTCAGTTTTGCATACTGGTCCATTGGCTAATGGAGCTAATTAGCGGTTAGCTGCACTCAATAGATAACTTGCCGATTTGTGATTTTCAAGATTCAGTTAGGGTGTTCCCTTAGCTTGGCTGGAAACTGTTTCTGTACAGCAAGCCCTGACCCTTGTGTTACTGTTATGATGTGCTCTCTCTGCCAGGTTTATGATTCCAACCATGAGATTAGTGTGATGGCTGGGTTGATTCAAGGCTCATGTAAAGTTCTGCCTCCTGTCGCCTATAAAGAAGAGAGTGAAAGAAGGAGCCAATTGGCAGCAGAGATAAATAACAAATCAGAACCAGTTTTCCTATGCAAGTACGTGTATTTGTTTACTTCAGTTCTGTATTCATTCTTCTAACTGCTTAAAAGCTGGTTGATATGTTATGCATGGTTATGACTTGCTGAAATGCCGATGTGTGATCTTTGATGGTTTACTTAACATCATCATACTTCCGACATTACTTATGTTGAATGTTAGCTTTTGCAGTTACTGGAACTTTCTGTTTCTTCTCATGTACTTCTAATCTGACCAGTTACCTTACTGATGGACGGATGATCCTTGAAACGATTCAAATGCGTGTATCAGCTCCACTTTGTTAAAGAAAATATCCACTCATCTTATATAGCTATATAGAAGTTTAGGAGCAGGGTGCTGAGTTGCATGTATAAAACTCACATTTCTTTCTCTGCACTGTAAAACCAAAAAGGAATCTTACATGAATTGTTGAATTTTACAGTAGATAATATATAGTGCAGTAATTAGCTTGTATTGATTTTTAAACAGCTTATTCACTTTAGAGTTAAGCTATTGGAATGTATCCGGCTGCCACAGGAACTGAAAGTTCTCCTTGGCTTTTGTGATCTGTTTCTGTTATATACATTGCTCAATATTGGTTGGCCATTGGAAGAGTGAATCTTAACCTGGTTAATAGAGATCTTCTTCTTCTAGATTCCTACTCAATACCGTTTTCTGGACCTGTATGCAAGCTCAAATATTTTGTGACCAAAACAGGAAGAAAAAAAACTGAAGTATCATGTTTTTTGTTGAGCCTAATCAAGAATATATAACTTGACTAGTACTTGCAGGGGCCTGTGGTTCCGGTCGCAGTATGAATCAGGATATGTATCTAAATTGATTATTTTTGTGGGTGATATAGGTCTGGGTGACCCGCCAAAGTCATCTACTGTTATGTGCCTATGAACACCATCTTATTGCATCGTTAGAGTTGAGCATCCCGCCACTTCTTGCATAATCTTATGTGAAATATCTGGTTGCAGGTGGTTTTTTGATAAACTCAGAGGAAGCTTTCAACCTGTTTTCAGTTAAGCGGTCTTTGTATGCTTTTGAAGTGTTCTTCCAGCAGTCTCAGGTTTGCATGATTATATTACCCTATCTAATAACTGTGCTGCTTTGTTCAATGGGCTATCATTCCGATAGCTTGCTTTCAAGCAGTAGTAGGGTACTGGATAGTTTTAGGTAGATATGTTCCTGAAAATGGTTCTACTTCTATCGTATCGCTCCGGCTAATTGTTTTTTCCTGGGTTTCATGCTTTGCTTGCAGACAGCCTACATCAATTAGGGCCATTGACTTGAGAGACATAGTTGGCAGTGGTCGTCTCTTGTACATATTGCAATGTAGTTTTTTCCTTGCCCCGGTTAGTCGAATTCTTTTCTGCGAATCAGCAGCAACTTCCAAGTAAATCTTATAATTATCATAGGAGGGGTAGTGACATAAAATGTACATTCTAATTAAAGTTGTGTTTGCTTCTGCTTTTCCCCATTGATACTAGATGGTTTTAAACTAGCTCGTGGTGCGTTTCATTGAGGGATGAACACTCCTTGAGTCTTTACGATGTTGCAAGAGTAGTGTTGATGAATCTAGGTCCCTCGGTGTAACCCTGTAGTTTACGTTGTTGATTGAGTTGGGTGTTCAGCGATCCAAAAACTGTTGCCTCCTCCATGATTATGAATCACTAATATACCCATTAATCCAATTGCGGAAGCTCGTGCTTATGCGAAGAGCAAATGTATGATTCTAAGTTCTAACCGAATCGAGAGTTGAGAACAAATGGTTGCCGTGTTGTCAAGGCTTTTCGTTGTTGTTGTTGTTGCAATGCATGATCAAAGGTTGTGACTACTAGGGGGGATAGGGTCTCCCTCTCCCCCCATAGCATTAATTGAAGATCATGTTACTTGTTGATCTGGTCACTCTCAAGGAAAGAGATTTAACACGCATCACAACCCTAAATTTCATGCAACTCTGCAATTCCCAACACCAATAATGAAGTGGCTACATATCCTACATACACATTCTTAGCCATCTAGGGTTCCTTTTTTAATACAGAACTCATGTTGCTTCCAGTCGTTCTCTCTTGCTAGTCTACAGAGGTTGAGGGTTTATTGCTTAGGGGAGAAGTTATCCAGCTTTTGTCCGTCTTGTGTTGGTATGTTGCCTGATAATTCCAGAGCAGAACCATTACTGGCTATTTTACTGTGAGGTTGTTCCTCGTGGATGCGACAAAAGGCCCAAGGGTTTGGATAAAGCTGGTCTAAACATGAAAGAACATTAATTTTGAGGAGTTCCATACTGTGATAGTGTTTTATTGTATTTGAAGAGATATTTTTATGGAAATGGAAGAAGTGTTCGAGTGACTGAAACAATAATGGTAAATCCTATATGAGGAACACGTAGTCACATGAGGAGCAGACATTTAATGTTTAGGGATTCAAAGGTAATTTTCGGTTGCTTGCGGCAAAATCAATCGCTAGCTAGGTTGGGTACTTGGGGTTGGCATATATGAACCTTCTTTAGGTGGTGAGAGTAAAGGAGTCCATTGTAATTTTAGAATGTGGTTTTTGGTTTCACATGGTAACATAGTGACATGTTAGGATGTATTAGATGCTTTAAAGTACTAGTATTTGAAATACTAATTGAACTTGTAATGTAATATTAATGATTGAACTTGTAACGTAATATTAATGTACAAGATCAGTTATAAAGGAATTTGTATCTTTATGTTATGATACTATTTCGGTTTGTATCATAACAGAAAGGTACATATTTATTTTGTACCATAAAGGTATAGGTACAAATTGAATTTGTATCATACCAATAAAAGTACAAGTTCAGTTTTTTTGAATTTGTACAAATTGAATTTGTATCATACCATTAAAAGTACAAGTTCAGTTTGTACCATATAAAGTTCTTTTTTTAAACCAAAGCATCGATACTATAAAGCATTGTAATTTTTTTTAGTTGACATGACAATAGTTATAATACATTCTCTGCCCTCTCTTATAAGATTGAGGGCGAAAAATTTAACTCATAATATATATTATGCACATTATCGTGAACAATAGTCTTTGCATGAATTTAAGCTCTGAGATTAAGATATTTTTCCAATCCCTCATTAATATTGAACGACATGTATTTGTTTTGTATCATGCTAGTAACATAGTTGTTATATATCATGCTAGTAAAATAACGAGGCAGCAAATTACCTAAACTTCTAATCATGTCTATAGAGGGAGCATCTGGTGATTAGGGTTGCTTAGTCACTTGACTAAGTCCCTCACAACCTTTAGATATGGACATATCAATTTGATGGTTAAAAAATGAGAATGGCTTTTTAATTAATGACAGGGGTAGTTTGGGTATTATGGAAAAGGGTTAATAGCATTTTGTACCCCTCTAGTATGGTAAATTAACAAACATACCCCTCTACTAAATTTTTGCACAAATATACCCTTCTAAAATTAAAACGTAACGAATTTACCCTTCCATCCATTTAACTGTTAAGTGGGACGTGAAATTACTCAATTACCCTCATTTACTCTTAAATACTCCTAATTTTTATTTTTAATTATTTTACGTTCACAATTATCTGTATTTTTATTTATTTACAGAAAAAGATAGACATATTGAGATTTGAACTATGGTCACTTCAAACAAAGCGAAGGTTTAAAATCAATCAAACTATGTAGATTTGTTGTATTTTTTTAAATTAAAAATATACACGAAGCTAAAATATGAAATTACATCACTTTTCAACAGTTAGCTAGCCCAATAAATATTCCGTAACTACTTATTCGATGTTTTGATACTTCGATTTTGATATTATTTATTTTAATTATAGTTTAATACTTAATTTAAAATTTTATCTATCTTATAAATAGACGATAACCATAAATTTGCAACCAAAATATTGTTGGTTCGAATATTTCATATCGAATTATAGTATTGAATATGTAGAAGCGATATAGAATTCTTAAAATACCATTAATTTCCAGAACTATAGTGAAGCAATCATATCTTTGTGCAAACTATAGGGAACCGGTTCTCTGAACATTTTTGTCCAGTTAAATACTAAGTTTTGAAACTCTTCCTAGGGGTGTACGTGTGTCGGTTCGTTTGGTTTAGATATTTTAATCAGCTAACTCATATAACACGATTTTGAAAACACTAAATACACACTCACCCAAATAATTTAGAATTTTAACGGTTTGTGTCCTCCATACCAAATGAACCAATTAACATGTCGCTTAACTAAGGACGATCTCATTGTCCAATCCCATCATTCTAATGTCAATCCATAAAAGTAACTCATATTCGCGTTTGTTAACACATGTTTCACATTGTCATTACTGTGACATGTAACTTCGCTGCTACGGATTCGGTATTTCTCATCATATGGCCTCCAAACTGATAAACATATCGAGCCAGCAGTTTTATGACAAAACTCAAAGTGAAGACAACTCATCGTTCTGGTGGAATTTTTGAGCTTGCTGGTGTCCACTAATCTAATTGAAAACATAATGATTGCTAAAATTAAGCTTTCACGCAACTCACTGGGGTTTGGGGTGTGAACTTGGAGTAAAAGTTGATTCTGGGTTTGTGAAGGGAAATGGTGAGAGGAAGAAATTGTGTTTGGATTTGGTAGCAGATAAAGTTCATGGTTCGGTTTCGTTTCGTAAAATGTTTTGATTTGTTTTAGTTAGAGGTATAATATCATGGTTATGTGTGATCAAATGAACCAAAAATGAGATTGGGGAAGGGAATTCCAACTTAGAAGGAGTGGATTAGATTTTGATAAACTCAAGTTCATGATTAACTGAAAGAATATTTAGATTTAGACTTTCTGGTATTGAGATGTTCATAGAGAGTTTAAAACTGATCCAAGGCCATGGATTGATATTGGTTAGTTGATTGTGATTTTGAGGAAGGTGTATAAAAAGTCATGGAAGTAGTTTGCAGCAAGTGAAGGCTGTGAAGAGGCAGTTGGTCAATGTAGTGATTGAACCAAGGAGGGTATTGAAAGACATAGAAGCAAAATCGGAGCAGTTTAAGAGAGAGAAGTAGTAGATGATCAGGATATTAATGAAAATGGAGAGAGTATTGATGGGCATGGAAGTGAACTGGATCAGATGAAGGCAGAGAAGGAGGAGAAGAGCATATTGATGAAATTGAAGATGAGTGTTGGTTTTACGAGCTTATTAAAAATGCCCCGAGGAAGATGAGTTCGGCAAATACAAGAAAGAGGATTGAGGAGTTGGAGATCAAGCTGACAAGAAACTCAATTGAAAGAGAAATTCTGGTTCATGGAGAGAAGGTCCATCAAAGTAGCATAAATGGAGTCGCAGAAGGAGGATTAAAAATTGAATTTTGGTTTAAAACATATACGTCGAGAGATTGAAGATGGAGGGGATAAAAAGTTGGTTGTACAACGGAGAGTGGAAATTATTGGATCTTTAGGTGTTATGGTTGTTGCAACTATCACAACCTATGTTTATGTTAAAACGAGGAATCATTGATTGATTTACTAAAGTTAAGGTTGATTCACTATTCAAACTACTGGAACCTGTAGATAAGGAGTGTCTAATTTTGTGCCTCATTACTTTGATCGAATCTATTAGTAAATTTGATGTAACTCTAATTTTTTCATTAGCTCTCAAGTTTTGATGGTCTCCTTTTAATGGGGTCAATTATCATTATGAAAATGGGATTAATGATACATTTTTATATTCTTAAATGAGGAGGGTATTTCTCTGAATGTTCGACCTATATATTCATTCTTTATGTAGCATCTCGATTGAATGATTTTCAATGAACTTAAACGAATTAATAGACTTAAACATAACATAAAATATAAATATTAAAATATGAACATTCCGGTCAATGGGCGGGGTTATAAGCTAGTAAAAAAGAAGAAGTTGCCTCTCACTTTTTATATATAAATGAATTGAAGTTGTTTCTAGTTTGGTTGAAGTCATGTCTTTTGCCGACCCAAATATTGTCACACAGAAAAAGGAGGGTACAATAATAGAGATGGTTTGTCTAAGCCTTCTTTTTTTTGCAAAACCCTTTTGACACACAAAGAAAGAAAGACATCCCAATTTAAGGACCCAAAACAGATACTTCCTTTGGATAAAAGGGGACGAGCAGGAAAAAATAATGGGAGTTTGAATTTCAGAGGCTGTCGGCAATCCGCCGTTGAATCCTCGGCAGGGAATCATGAGGGAATTGGTTACTCCTCTTCCTCCTCTCCTACACTATTCTTCCTCTTTAACTAAATTAAAGGGAATGGTCCTAAAGGCTAATTAAAGCAGCAGGACAGGCAAGGCAACGACTACACACCATATATACAGAGAGAGAGAGAGAGCTTCAAACCGACCAAATAAGAAAGAAAGCAGCAGAACAGAAGAGAACAGAACAGAAGAGAACTAAGAGAGAAGATCGAAATGGCATAATTGAGGGAGGAGACAAGAACCCAAGTCAGGCGCAAAGCCAAATGCCTCTCTTCACTCTTTTCTTTTTTGACCGCACCCACCGCTTTCAATTTCCCCATCTCCAGCCACTAGTACTACTCATTAATTTCTCCTTTGCCTTTTTAATTTTATTGAATTGAATAATTGAGGCGGCAGGCAGAGTCTTAATTAATCTCCCAATTTGACCATTACTGCATCTGCATGTCCCTCTAAGCAAGAATTGTGAAATTACATTGGAGGTTATATATATAAACAAAATTTAGTAGTAGGAAATTTATATTAAAATTGTAGTTTAATTGTGTTTCAACTGTT